GTCATCTTAACTTCAGTACCCGGAAAGATAATGGAGCAAATAATTAACCAATCAATTTGTCAGGAAAAAATTGTGTCAAACTAACCTAATAACTTTCTTTGACAAGGTAATAAACCTTGTGGGAGGGTGGGGATGGTGGTAAATGTGGTATATCTTGACTTTAGTAAGGATTTTGATTCTGTCTCACATGACCTTCTCATAAACAAACTAGGGAAACACAATCTAGATAGAGCTACTATGAGGTAGGTGCATAACTGGTTGGAAAACCGTTCCCAGAGAGTAGTTATCAGTGGCTCTCAGTCAAGCTGGAAGGGCATATCAAGTGGGGGCCCACAGAGATCAGCTCTGGGTCTGGTTCTCTTCAATATTTTCATCAATTATTTAGATAAGGGCAAAGTTTGCAGACAATACCAATCTGGGACGAGTTGCAAGTGCTTTGGAGGACAGGACTAAAATTCAAAATGATCTGGATAAGCTGAAGTAAATAGGATGAAATTCAATAAGAACACATGCAAAGTACTCCACTTAGGAAGGAACAATCAGTTGCATGCATACAAAATGGGAAAGGATTGCCTAGGAAGGAGTGCTGCGGAAAGTGATCTGGGGGGTCATGGTGGATCACAAGCTAAATATGAGTCAACAGTGTAACGCAGTTGCAAAAAAAGCAAATATCATTCTTGGCTGTATTAACGGTAGTGCTGTAAGCAACACACGAGAAATTATTCCGCTCTACTCTGTGCTGATTAGGCCTCAGTTCTGGGCATCACATTTCAGGAAAGATGTGGACAAATTGGAGAAAGTCCAGAGAAGAGCAACAAAAATTATTAAAGATCTAGAAAACATGACCTTTGAGAGAAGACTGAAAATATTGGGTTTGTTTAGTCTGGAGAAGAGAAGACTGAGGAGGGACATGATGATAGTTTTCATGTACATAAAATATTATTACAAGAGGAGAGAGAAAAATTGTTCTCCTTAACCTCTGAGGACAGGACAAGAAGCAATGGGCTTAAATTGCAGCAAAGGCAGTTGAGGTTGGACATTAGGAAAAACTTCCGTACAGTCAGGATGCTTAAGCACTTGAATAAATTGCCTAGGGGGTTGTGCAATCTCTGTCATTGGCGATTTTTAAGAGAACGTTAGACAAACACCTGTCAGGGATGGTCTAGATAATACTTAGTCATACCGTGAATGCAGGGGACTGGACTAGAAAACCTCTCAAGGTCCCTTCCAGTCCTACAATTTTATGATTCTCCATCCTCTACCCTCAACTTTTCCATTTTCTTGAGACTCTATTACTAAACCACTTTACTTTGCATTCTGTCTTTGTAAATTAATTGGCTTTGTGCTACAGTATTAAGTCCTCTCCTGAAGTCTAGCTGATTTGCTCTACAGCCATGGTTTCATCCTGACCCACTAATTCCATAGTGTATTCAAGTCATTCAAGCAAACTTGCTTGGCATGAGTTTCACTTTATCTGTGCTAGTTTCTATTTTCCGAACTGCAATATATAATATTATACATTCTTGTTCCTTATCAATGTATATAATATTATACATTCTTGTTCCTTATCAATCTTACCAACATTTTTTCTGTAGCTAAAAGCAACTTTATAGGTATATAATCTATATTATATTAGCCACATTCCAGTCCTCTGTCTTTGGCGCTATAAATACTTTTGCCACAGGCTTTCCCATTTTCCTTGTTATTGCCTGAAAAGTCCCAGGATGTAATTTATCTGACTCTGCACCTGGTATTTTGTCAAGTTTATTATTTGCTGCGACACCGTATCACACAGTCTTGCCATTCCACTTCACCTCAACCTTCTTTTCCCATCTCTCCCCCAACAAGATGTTCCTCTCTGCAATGTTATAGTCCACTTCTACATTGAGACCAAGAATTTGTTTATGCCCACAGCAAATAAAGGCCACATTTGTCTTTACTGTTCTACACTTGCCCAGCAGTGACCTTCCTGTCTCTTTGCCCATGTGTTTGCTTCTTATGTATCTATAACGGTTTACTTTTGTTCATCTTCAGGTCTCTTGCTATTTTCATGTCAATTAAACTTAAGTAGTACATATTTTTGTGTTACACATTTTTTTTAAACAGACATGCATTTTGTTTTTGTCTGCATCCTTTTACACCATTCTTCTTACTGATTATTTCCATGTCCACTTTGACAGCATCTTGTCCTTAATTACATTCTGAAATTCTCTTGTCCACTATATTTATGAAGTAGACACAATCCTTTGTGCATGAAATAAATGTTCCTACTTGCTGCCTGTTCCTGTGTACTTTTATTAATGATTTTGTTTTCCTCTTCCTAATATTTTTATTCATAAATCAAAACAGATTGTCGTCTCTACTTCCCAGATTCTCTCTACTTTCCTCTTTACCTGACTATTTCTCTCTTTCTCACCCTCCTCCCGCCCCCTCCCTATACAGAGTGTTAGTTCAGGTGTCCTGGACAAACTCCTATCAGGCTACTTTCATTATGCCTACTCCAAAGCTCTCCATGTAGTTTCATTTGGCTGCATTATTCCCCTATAATTGCTATCCTAAAATATTAAGAATAATATTCTACATTTCTATAGAGCCTTCCAAGGATTGCTGAGTTTGTTGATTACGCCTCACAACATGGTTTTCATCATCCACATTTTGCTTATACAGAAAATAAGGTACAGAATGGTCATGTGACTTGCCCAAGGCAATGTGGGAAGTATGTGGCAGAACCAGGAATAGACTCCCACGCCTGTGTTTTGGCTACAAAATCATCCTTTCCCTGTTGGCATGTGGTGTTGCTGTGTGATGATAATAAGCTGCCTTGATCCACCCCAGAGGTGGGTCACGTCATTAGTGGCTGAAATGATTGTTGTGTATATATACCATTTGTAAAAGTTTATAAAACACTTCTAGACCATTCAAGTAAATTATGATATGGGCCAGATCCTCAGCTGGTGTTATCCTCAGCATTGCTCCTTTGACTTGACTGGTGTTATGCAATTTTACTACTAAGCAATCTGGCCCATTATTTTACAACCTCTGTGTTTACTGATTACCAAGTCTCTTACCACTTGAGTACCATCTAAATTATCCATAGCTTCTTCTGTAGTGAGAGAAGAATTTCTCCATAGCTTCCCATTAAGGGGCTTCTTCCCATCTGGAATATTAGAGAATATCACTCACTTTTTCAAGCTCCAAAAATTTTCAACATGGGTTCTCTAGATATATTTCCCAGTTGGGACGTAAACAACCACAAAATTCCACAGCTCTGTTTTTTGCATTTCCATGTTAGCCCACTTTTTTAAAAGGCAGTTATATCTTCATTCAGTTGTGTAATTCTAGGCATGTTGAGAACAAAGCTGGGAGAATATTTGAAAATGAAATGGAAATTCATCTGCTTTGGGATTTCATTTCAAGCTTGAATCTCAGCACAAGTTCATTAAAAGAGTTAAAAAAAAAAAAAAAAAAAAAACCCAAAATATTTTCCTATTAAACTACCAGGTTAAACTAAATGGTGGCTAGATGAGTTTTGCTTCAAGTTTTTTCAGCCCTTTCAACCTGAACCTCAAAGTAAAACTCTGGGTGCACAAATCCAGCAAAGTAAAACCAAAAAAATGTCCTGTTTGAGTCAATCAAAAATGTCCTTGTTGCACACAGCGGAGTCAAGAGTTGTCCCACACCCTATAGTCTACAGGGGGGAAAAGCCATTGTCAAACTTAGAGAGTATATTCATTCACCCCTGCTTGAAACTTTATTTGGAAATGTTGTAACTTACAATCCATGCAAGCAAGAATTGGGAAAATACTGGGCAAAACTGATTCTTGGTGTGACTTCTTTGACTTCTATAGGATGAATCTGGACTATTGTCTTCATTACATTCTCATTTTTGCAGTCCCTGCTATGTTCATTTAGAATCCATTTTATTTTTTCTAAATATCTTGACATTGTTGTACATTCCAGAGAGTTAGTCAGATGGAGAGATTATCACATGACACATGCTACTTTGACACATGATAGACTGTGAAAACCTTGGTGAAGAATTTAAGCTGGAAGTGGTGGTTCACCATCCATCACTTCAAGACAATTCTACCAATTCATAACACTGAAAGAAAGCTAATATTTCTCCCCAAATCTAAGTGCATATGAATGTTTTCTGGATGCACTATTACTTTACATCAGCAGTAGTTTCCAACAAATTAGCCATTATGGCAATAATGTTTTGGAAGCCAGGAATTGTGGAATCAATGATGGAGCAATTAATAGCATTTTATGAGACAACCGTGAGACATTCCTAAAACACATAACAACAACAGGCATTGCAGGCACAATTCAATACATTTCCAAGTTGCAGTCATTAGTGAGCCAGCTGGTTGATGGTGTATATTTCCTCTTCTATCTTTATGAAACAGTTTAATCTTTCTTTCTTAAAAAAAGACCAACAAAAACTGCCATTTTACAGCAAGATGGACTGATTCCAGATACTCATGGTCTAAGCTACAGTGAAATCTACCAAATGCAGATCTTCACTTTATAGGTGTGCTGTAAATTAAAACACATCATGGACAAAAACATCCCCATCAATCACTTCTGTAACTTTAATAGCCCATGGCATTGCTACATGATGCTACAAGATTATACCAGTTTAAAGGCTACATGAACCTAGTTTAAAACATGAAGGTGGTAACTTATGGCATATCTGACACTAACTCAGTTTAAGACACAAAACACAGTTTAAAAGCTGCATGAAACAGACTTAAATTACAACTTCAATTGGCAATAAACTTAAAGGGTTTTTTAAAAACAATTCAAAAATACTGTCCTGTGATAGGAGGTTATTCACAAATCAATTATCTCTATGCATACTACAATTGCCAGGTGATAATTCAGACAATGAATCTTTGACAGAGCCCAGCATCATGCGCCACCAGAACTTAGGTGACTGTCAAAAAATATTAATATAGTTTGAGGCTTTTCTCAAGTTCCTAGATTAACAGACCTACCTCGACAGATGGTCCCATTCCCCACATATCCAGGTTTGCAGGTGCAGCTATGTCCCCTGACAGTGTTAGTACAGATTGCATTCTCATCACAGTTGTGCTGTCCGCTGCCACATTCATCATGCTCTACCAGAAAAAAAATACAAGAGAGAAAAAGATCTGCTTTTCAGTTTGCTGATCTGACATTTGAAAACTGAGTTAGAACTAATATTAAGGATGCCACAATGGCTGAACACAGCAGGGATTCAAATGTAAGAGCCTAATATGGACTGCTTCAATTCCAGGACATAATGACATATTCATGGCAGGAGTAGCTTGTTTATTCAGACTGAAGAGGAAAAAACTATCTGGGCAGACTACACAGGGCTACTACCATAATAATCACAGGAAGAAGATTATCACTGCAGTATCTCGGATGTGATAAGCCTCACCATCACTGCCCACTACCAAGTGTGGTAAATATAAATACAAGATAAGTGGTTACAGTGAGGCACGTTGACGGCATAGTCTTTAAAGGTCTAACAGCACTTCCATTACAACCATTCACATGCACAAATGTATGCTGTGCTAAAGCTTGGCATAAAATAATAATATTCTGTACTTCTAAGGCACCTTCCAGACCAACGGTTCCCAAAGCACCTTCCAGAAATATGGTCCATGTGTTACTCTCATTACCCAAGCTGCCAACAGGGCTGAAGGGCCTGCAACTTACTCTCCCCTCCCTTTCATCTCCTCCCTCCCATCCGTATGTGTGATGCTGCAGTCCGCTCCAGAAAAGCACCAGTTTAAGGTTGCCAGCCTCCCACTTCTCATATAGCTCAGCCAGCTCCTCCCTCTGCATATGTGGCAGGAGTTGGAGGGAGGGGAAGAAAGAAGAGCCGCTGACGCATCATCCCAGATGAAATATGGTGACGCTTTGCCTGCCTCTTGCATGTTTTAAGAGGATGATGATTTAATGTTAACTGAAGTTAATTTGTTAACTCCTTCTTTATGGGAAGGAATCACAGTGCAGTGATGCTTCCAGAAAGCATAGCTATGGGTGCAAGAAAATGGGTGTAATTACAAAGCAGAAATTGAAATGCTTCTTGCTAGTGTTTGTCTTTATTGTTCCTAATACAAAAGTCAAGTTAGTCTTTATGAACTTCTCTTAATGGACGCTCGTAGCTGAAAGGTACCCTCTAGTGGGAAAAGGGTTATGCCTTATAAACAGACTCTCCCAAATTCCAGGTTGACACTGTACTTCAGGATAATTCAAACTGTCTGAGTGACGGATTGCAAGGGCTCCGCTAGAATAAATGTTCTTAAAAGAGCATAAATATGTCTTTGCACATTATCTATTGGGTATATAATGTTTCCAAACACATTCGATAGCTAAGTGATATGGGATTTACATAATTTTTCAAAGGAGTATCATAGGGATATTTTGCTCTTTCCTTTTCACTTTTTTTAAAACAGAAAATTCATACATAAAAATGAATCTGGCTTCAGCTGATAAATTCAGACTTATGTTTATGCTCTTTAGTTTATGCTGGTCCCTTGCTCTGCTGCAGAATTCACTTTAGCTACTCTCTGCTTTTCAGACCCTTAGATATTCTGAATGTTAGGCTCCTTCCTGGGCACTATAAACTCTTCTTCTTGAACTCAAAGGAAACTATGCAGCAGCCTAGTTTGTGCAACTCCTATCTCAATTAAGAAAAGCACCACACACAGCTCAGCCCATGGTGGCAGATTAAGGAGAAGCTTTTATAGTGGTAACCCTCTGACCACCTCCGGAGGCAATTAGACCATTCTATTCTTAAAACATATTTTCTTTTAAAAACAACATTTTCCCCTAAATCTCACCTACAGAGGAAAGTTGGTGTAATTATAATTATTGATCTGTATTTCAGTAGCACCAGAAACACAGGGGTCCCCATTGTGCTAGGCACTATACACACACACACACAATAAAATCAACCCTGCCCTAAAGAACTGACAATCTATTTAGATTCCCCTCTCACCATTTACAGTAAAAACAATATCCCATCTGAAGATTGTTTGCCAAAACATACAAAACCTTAACCCCTTCGGAGCTCTTCCCAGGTGTTTACAACAATAGGGGTTCTAATGTAGACAAGGTTCCATAGCTGCAGCCTTTTTTTAACATTGATGTCAATTAGATATGTTCTGAGAAATTTAATTGGCACGGTGTTAACAATGGTTCTGGCCATGGGAAACTGCCCTATACAAGAGAACCCAGCATTACTAACACCAGTGCAACTAAGGGATCCTTGTCCATGCAAGAATTTCCAAAATTGATAACTGTGGGACAGCTGCAATGGTGGGAATTTTTTTTTTTTAATTTCCCTAGTGTAGACAAGTCTATAGAAGAGTTAGCTACAGCCCTAGTGAGAATGAGTCAGCATTGATCTTCTGTCAGGTTAACAAAAGTCTTGTATTTCAAACACATTAACCTGTGAGAAAAGGAAAAATGCTTAAGACCCTGTCAGTATCCTACTTTGGTTGTGTTTCCTTCGTCCTTTTAAAATTTCACCAAAGAGCGATGTTATTTTTTTTTTTTAAAGAGCATTTTGGAGAAATTCCCTTAAGGCCTCACCTTGGCATGATTCATAAGGTGTATTAGCAAAACTCTCTAGTGCTTAGTTGTAGCCTGAAAACCTACATCAGTGTCTATAGAAAGTGAAATAAATCTACAAAGGGAATTTCAAAGAAGCAGAACAGAAGACAAATCAGACTGACCAGGATTAGCACTGCTACTCTCGCAAGAAACTGCCATGATATTTTTAATTATTGCAAGCGTTTTGCGACAAATGGCTTAGTTTGGCAATTCATTCAAAAGACACCTCCTGCAGCAGCATGGGGCAATTAACACCGTGCTGAATCATTGGCTCAGTGAGGTCAGTGGAATTCAGAGTCAGAAGGGGAGAATTACAAGACAAGATGGCAACCCAAGATGGAATGTGAAGACCCTGAAAAAGAAAAAGAAATTAAAAAGAAAACAAAAGATCTGAGGTAAGAGAATTCAGAGTCACTACTTGTCAAAAGTATGTCTTATTTTGGCAATTACTCTTTTAGCTGGAACCCAGAAGCACAGAAAGGGGCATGTAAAAATAAAAAAAATATAATCTCAAAAAGTGGATTTTCAGGGTAGGTACAGAGATCGTATATGTGGGGTGGTGGTCACTATTTTACCTGACTGGTTTCATCTATCCCTGATTTACTCTACAATATTGACAAAAGTTGAAGTTGGTGAAAGAGCTAGCAGCAGACAAAGGGTGTGCCTATACTGCAATTAAAATCCCCATGGTTGGCCTGTGCCAGCTGACTCAGGCTCATGGGGTTTGGGCTAGGGGCTGTTTAACTGCAGTTTAGACTTCTGGGCTCAGGCCACAGCCTGAGCTCTAGGACCCTCCCACCTCGGAGGGTCCTAGAGTCCACACTCCAGCCCGAGCCCAGAAATCTATGCTTCTATTAAACTGCCCTGCAGTCTGAGCCCTGAGAGCCCAAGTCCACTGGCACAGGCCAGCCAGGGCTGCCTAACAGCAGTGTAGACATACCCAATGGGAGCATGGGTGGCTTACTGGGAACAGAGATAATGGGAGATGTGATTTACTGATTTCCTAAGTTGAAGTCATTCCCTGGAGTATTAAACATACATTTCAAGAAACAGTAACCATTCAAGAGCAATAATTATTATTATAATAATACTTTGTCCTTATAGACATGTTAATTTCTTTATGAAATCCTTTGAGGTTGTATTTTCAGGTCTTAGATAGCTTGTATCTAAATAATATACTAACCTATAATGGGGAAGAAGTATGGCCTAGTAGCCCTGGAGTCAGGAGATCTGGATTACATTCTCACCTGTGCTAGAGGCTTGCCTCATTTTTTCCTTCTGTAAAATGGGGATAATACTTATCTCACAGAAATATACTTATCTCACAGAAATGTTCTGAGGATTAACTAACAATAGTAAACTGTTTTGAAATGCTCACATGCAAGATACTGTAGACGATTAGGGTATTCTTACTACTACTTTATTGGTATAAATCTGAGAATCAAGTGTTTGCTGCTGGCTTACAACAAGGAAGAAGTAAAAAAGCAAACGGTATCACTAAGCACAAAGAACACCTCACATTTTCCTTCTGCCTATCCAGCCAGCCACAACCAAAATCGACAAACTAATAATTTATTACTAAGCTGTTTGTTGTCAGTAAAAGTCTCCTAGAATTTCAAAACCTTTCATGACCTTTCCCAAAATCCACAAGAGGATTATTTTACAAGCACAGTATTTTCTCAGTTCATATTTGCAGCAAGATAGTTTGCGAAGAAAAGACAAAAATGGCATATTCTCCCCTTGGCCATTGACTAGGGAAGCACTCTTGCTTTCATGTATGCTTGAAAAATTACTTCCAAGAAATTAGACTTATTTTACAAAAATATTTCTGAGGAAGAATGTTCCCCCTCCTGCCTTTGTTGTTCCCAAAGTCAAAGCCCGCTGTATACCCATCAAGTGAGTAAAATCCCCACAGAAAACTTCCATTTGAAAATGCTGTCACTGGAAAGTCAGCCCCGGTTAACGACCTGCCTCAGGCAACAGAGATAGCATAAACCTGAACAGAAATCTACAACGATAACACTATGGGTTTGGGAAAACTAAAGTTGTTTATGTACCATTAGAGATATATAATGCTATGCACAGTAATTACAGATCTCTGCTGTAGATATTTCTACCATGCTCATAGGAAACCTAATGAAATTAACCGCTTATCTTGATTATTAGAACACTTTGGCGTATCTTCTAACAAGTAATCCAAGAGGATTACTTATTTTTCAACACTACATGCCCTTACATAAATAATCATATAAAAAGCAAAATTAATCCACCAATAGTTAGCTTCAAGTAGATAGCAAGTTGAATATGACATTTAGACTCAAAGAAAGTAGTACTACATCTTACACAGTAGCTCGAAACAGCCTAAGTATTAAGAACAGATTTAAGACAGTTTGTGTCTGTCTGGTACCTCTGTAAGAATACAAATGGGGGGCTGAGGGGCACATGAAGTGTCAACCCTTTCCCTGAGCTCCATGGAAGAGCTAGCCATAATGTAGAGGGAGAGTACAGG